TCTTCTCTCGCGTTGTGGTGGCTCACATGTCCGGCCACGCCGAGTGTACGCCCTATGCGTGCAAGCAGTGTTCATTCGAGAGCAAGTGGCGCGAGGTGCTCATCAATCACAATCGCTCGCAGCACACTGACACCGATCCGATGGACTTTGAAATGCGATTCCGATGCGCCATCGACGAGAACGGCGTCTGTCGCATCCTAAAACTGAGCGCCGAAGAGCTTGCCCAGCTGGAGCAGGAGCAGGAGAACGCCGCGGCTGGCAACAGCAACAACAGTCAGAGCAGTGATGACCCTGGTGAGGCAGCACCGGCCACCGATGCTGCTGATGCTGACGATGAAGTCGCTGCTGCCCCGGCTACCCCACCTTCAGCCAGCGTCCCTGCGGAGAACCACTCTAGTCTGATTGAGCCGAACCTCTACGAGGAGAAGGCGATCATCCACTGTCAGCTGTGTCCCTTCCTCACGACCAATCACAAGAAGATGGGCATCCACTGTCGCTTCCACAATCCCTCCAAGGGGGCACTCAAGTGCAAGTTCTGTCCCTACTTTGTCAACAACCGGGAGAAGCTGCTGCGCCACCAGAAGCTGCACCAGAAGCATCATTCAGGCAGTAATGGGGGTGGAGCGAATCGCTCCCACTCCAGATATGTTCACGGCAACGGCAAGCACAACTTTCTATTGCCCACATTTGGAAGCCGTCCTAAAGTGATCCCATGTTCGATTTGTCCGTTTAAAGCCATCAATGCTCAGGTGCTGGTTGAGCACATGAAGTTGCACAAGTTAGCCAAGCCAATGGAGTACGATGATCAGCAGCATCAGGGTCAGTATGGTGAGGCTCTGCTGGAGCAGTCGATGGAGGAGAAGGGCAATAATGGCACCGCCATTAATGGCCACTACGGCAACGGATATGGGGAAAGATCTGTCTCGCTGATTGACATTAACAACATGAAGAATGGCTCGGCAAAGAAGTTCTCCTACGTTTGCTCTGGTATTTAATATGACTTGTCTTTTTTGTTGCCATCACTAACGATCAACTCGCTTTTAAAGATTGTCCGGCTGCATTTAAATCCCCAGGTGACTTCTACAATCATAAGAACTTTCACAACACCAGCGGAAATGAATTCGATCAGCACAGCTGCCCTTATTGCACATACAAGTGAGCTCACTTAAAACAGCAGTTGCCTTTCATTGTTTACTGACCCAATATTTTTTTGTCCTTCCTCTCCTGTCACCACCCTTGTTCAGAGCCCGCAACAAGCCCCAGCTATGCAAACATCTGTACGTGCACACCCCTGAGTACATTGCCAAGCGCGCCAACTCCTACCCCGATGGAACGAAGCATCTAATCGGACCACAGGACAGCAACGGATTCGCACAAGAGATCTCCTTTCCGATGATCAAGTCGCAAAAGTTTATGAAGCAGGGAAAGGTGCTGAAAGCCGTTCGCAAGCGCACCAAAGCAGAGTTCCCCATGAAACCGGTGAAGGTGAAGCTGAACAGCGAGGAGAATGGCAAGCAGAAGATTGTCTTCAACAATGCAGGCATGATGGCCAGTCAGGAGTTTCTCGAGACCAAGGAGTACTTGCAGCGAATCAACTCGGGCATTAAGAATCGATGCATGTACCGCTGCTCTTCCTGTCCGGCCGTCTTCACAAAGGTACACTGCCTGATGGCTGGTGAACATGCGGTTGATTAACACTACTTTGTTTGTTTCAGGTGAACACGCTCATCTTCCACATGTCACTGCATGACGCAAAGTCAGAGTACACTTGCGAGATTTGCTCCTACTCTACGAACACCGAGGACAATCTGGACATTCACTCGCTGCTGCACAATCTAACCGAGTCGCAGGCTGCACTTGGCTACAACTTCAACTACAACTGCGACAAATGTCCGGCCGGCTTTAGTAAAAGGGCTCGGTAAGTTTGTCCATTATTGCCGTTTTTTGTCCCTAGTAACTAAAAGTGATTATTTGCTCTCTTTAGTCTGGAAAAGCACATGAGCCTGCATGGTGCCAAGTTCAACTGGAAATGCGACAAGTGTGACTATTCTGTGCGCTACGCGGCCACCCTTGTGAAGCATCGAGCACTTCACCTCATAAACCCAAACTTTAGAGTTAACGCAACAACGCTCAGCCTGGCCGATGGAGATGCGAACATCACAGCGGCGATGCCGTCAAACATCAAGTTGAAGCTTAATCTCAAAAACATCTGTACCAATGGGTCTGCCGGCGAGGAGCAGCAGACCAGTGCCGAGTCGTCCGATGTGGGCGGAGATGAGGAAAATAAATCGGACGATGGAGAAGGAGAGATGGCCGTGGAAGAGGAAGAAGATGAAGTTCAGGAGGATGCCGATTCCAATGTCGACGCCTCGCCTGATGAAGTGGCCAATGAAGAGGAGGAAGAGGAGGTAGAAGAGGAAGAAGAGGAGATTGACGATGATGAAGTGGAGGCAGACGAGGTCGAGGAGAGCCACTTGCCGAACAATATCGCCATTGAAACAAAGTAAATTTCCGGTGGTTAACTTGACTCCACAGTATTAGGAACACTTATTCTCTTGCATTCCATTTTGATCACTTTCATACTTAACAAACCCAATCTCATGTCTTTCTTTGCTAATACTGCTGAAGCGAGCGCCCCCCCCCCTCACTCTCGGTCGTCCGTCACTCGTCGGCGACTCGACTTACTCACCATATCACATTTTCATTCCCTTCTCCAATTACTTCATAATCTCACCACTGACACTGTGCTTCCCACAGACACACATCCCACCCTCACTGAACCCACCCACCAGTCAACCTACTTAATTGATAAGAGCTTTTCAGTTTCCAATTTACTAGCTACATCCTTGTGATCGATCAGGCACACACGGCTGCTGCACTCGCAGCTTCTGCTGTGTCTGATTGAAATAGTCGTCTCAAACTTCCACTTACTCACATTTCCACATTTCAAACTTACTCAACACACATCTCCCGTAACTGAACTCGATTCAAATTCCATTTCCTACTCTTCCTACTTTGTGATTTTATTTTTTTCTATCCTAATTCGATTACAAAAAACCTTTCTAAATAAAAAGGATCTGACCCGCGAGCACTACCTTCGGTGTGACACTGCCTTTACCAGAAGATGGACACTTCAAAGAAGAAGCTCTACGATTCACCGGCAGTCAGTGCCAAGTTCATTGCTGACTGTATGAAGCATGTTCAAGTGAACGACGCCGCAGTGGAAACGCTGGCACAACTTGTANAGGATCTGACCCGCGAGCACTACCTTCGGTGTGACACTGCCTTTACCAGACGATGGACACTTCAAAGAAGAAGCTCTACGATTTACCGGCAGTCAGTGCCAAGTTCATTGCTAACTGTATGAAGCATGTTCAAGTGAACGACGCCGCAGTGGAAACGCTGGCACAACTTGTATGCACACTTGTAGTCGTCTAGTTCAAACTTTGGTCCTCTGTTTTCAAACGGTCTCNGTAGTCGTCTAGTTCAAACTTTGGTCCTCTGTTTTCAAACTGTCTCTTTTTTGTTTTTTTTTCATTGATTCTGCAGTTGCTTGACAAAGTTAGCAGCAGTGAGTACGACATTGCCAAGTGGAAGGCAGACAATGCCCTGCACCCACAGGCAATGAATGAGCACTCCGTCGAGTGGATCTTTCTGGTGGACAGCCTGAATTTTAGCTTCTGGCCTGATGCTGGCCAAGAGTTTACTATCCAGGGAGAGATTGGCTACTGGGCGCTCTGTGCGGCGGTGAATCGAGCACTGGAGGAGAAGGTGCCCATCACTGAGGCCAAGTTCTACCAGAACCTGAGCACTGAAGAGGCGGCTCACATCTTCCGCACTGACCAGGAGGGCATCACCATTCCAATGCTAAAANGCAATGAATGAGCACTCCGTCGAGTGGATCTTTCTGGTGGACAGCCTGAACTTTAGCTTCTGGCCTGATGATGGCCAAGAGTTTACTATCCAAGGAGAGGTTGGCTACTGGGCGCTCTGTGCGGCGGTGAATCGAGCACTGGAGGAGAAGGTGCCCATCACTGAGGCCAAGTTCTACCAGAACCTGAGCACTGAAGAGGCGGCTCACATCTTCCGCACTGACCAGGAGGGCATCACCATTCCAATGCTAAAAGAGCGTCTTCAAGTGCTACACCAAAACGGCAAAACTTTGGTCGAGGTAAGGAGGAGGTGGCTGATGTGAACTGTTGTTGTCTGATTCACCGTCTCACCACTTGCCTTTGTTCGCCTTTCAACAGAAGTTTGGTGGCTCGTTCGTGAACTGCATTGCCAAGGCCAATGGCAGTGCCTTTGACCTGATCAGCATCATTTACGACAACTTTCCTTCCTTCCGCGATGAAGGCATCTATAATGGCAAACCAGGTAATATAGCTGGAAAAACTAATGAACTTTCAAAATTAATTCAGTCAACAGTGACATTTCTGAAGCGTGCGCAGATTTTGGTGGCCGATTTGTGGGGCTGCTTTGAAGGAGAGAGCTACGGTCGTTTCAAGGACATTGAAAAGTTGACCATGTTTGCTGATTACCGCATTCCGCAAGTTCTTCACTACTTTGGCGTCCTTCAGTACAGCGAAGAGCTGAGCAGGCAGTTGCGTTCCCAGCACTTGCTGGAGAATGGCTCCACCGAGGAGATGGAAATACGAGGGGCCTCCATTCACGCAGTTGAGCTGATTAGAGGGAAGATGGTAGAGTTCGCATCAAGGTCGACTGCCTCCAGTGTGCCAGTGCCCAACTCCATTCAAATTGACTTCTACCTGTGGGGCTTTCGGCGAGACAACGCCACCGAAATTGACATCAAATCGCCGTATCATAAAGTGAGGAGCATCTTTTACTGATTAACAACAACAACATTGTGTGAAGTATAGTGAGTCCATCCGGAGTAATGTGTGTGTGTTTTAGGTTATGTACATGTTTATAAGTGAACGAAAAGCACATTAGGCATATAAAGAGAGAAGTCCCGCCGCAACCCGTAAACATGATGTAAAATTTCAGTTATCCACTCCAAAGATGCCAGGGTCCAGTTTGATGTCGCTGTTGTTAATCTGCTCGTACAGCCAGTGGAGTTCGTCATCAATCCCCTCCAGGTGATTGTCAAATGTCCTGCAAGAAAAAAAGAATTAGGTGAATAAAACTGCGTCATACACTGTATGTACTTAAGACTGTACTCTGGACTCAGTTGGGCTAATGTGGGCTGGTTAGGCACAATCAACTCAGTACTGGTACTAGGACTTCCTGCGTCAAAGCCAGCATTCAGAAAGTTTTCATTTGAGTTGATAGAAGGGTCCATTGGGGCAAAGTTGATGGGAACAATCGATTGGTTGGTGTTGGGGCTAGCCACAATGCCTTGGTCAGCTGAAATGACGGGAGTGTTTAGTACCGAGTCCTGGTCGTTTAAAAGCTGTTCAGTAGAATCGCCCTGTATTTCAATGGGAAGAAAATCGCCTTGTACTTCGGTTGAAGCTGGAACTTCGTTCTGCAAAACGTCAGACACTTCGTTCGACAACACTTCAGACTGGATTTCTCCCTGCAAATCTCCTTGAAAATCCCCTTGAAAATCCCCTGGCAAAACGTTAGTGACGTCGTTCCGAAGAGCATTTCCATTTTCCGAATCATTGCCTTTCATCAATTCAAAGTCCAGCAGTGACAAATCGCCTTCTTCCAGGTCGGTAATGTCGCTAATGATCGGGCCAGGAGAGGAGGCATTTCCGACACTGTCCAAAGCATTGGGCTTTAGAATCTTTCGATTGTCACTGGAGTCAATCATCAGTGGAGCCTTTCGCTTAATGCCAGTGGTAGTAACAACTTGATTTCGCACAATGTTGACTAGGAAATGCAGCAACTTTTCCACGATTTGCTGCTGCTTCAGGTGCTTTTGTCTGAGTATTGCCACTTCACGCCACAGGGCTTCGTTTTCTCGTTTCATGCTGCTCAACAATGAGTCAACCGATTCTTGGCGATCCTTCATTGACTCAACGTCTGACAAAATATTGTGATACTGGTCCAGTTTAACGATGCTCGTCGTGTTGTTGTTGTTGGTGTTGGACAACTGTAAGTAAAAAATAAAAAAATAAATGTCCGAGCACTCGGGAACGTAATCGTAAATACCTTTCGTTTGATCAAAGGCAACTCATCTTCCTTGTCGCGATTAAAATGCTGATGATAAAACTCAATTTCATCTCCCTCAAACTTCAATCCGCCACTGTCAATGTTCGAAACCTTGCGAAATCCATCTACATAGGCAAATTGCATCATGATTTAGTTCTGAGCACACATAGGCAAAACAAAACATACACATATTGAGTTGACGAATGAAAGACGCCATGTTGTTGTGCTTGAAGTAAAGCGGCAATACTTCTTTAGCAAAGCTGGCTTGATCCTTGATGGTAAAGCTGGTGTTGTTCTGTGGGTAAACACAGGAAATGATAGCGGCGAGTACAAAGTAGCCAGTAGAGGCAAGTACTTACTCGACTCCACTTGATCAACTTGTCAGTGGACTTGTCGTTGACAAGCTTCCATAACTTCAGTATGAAGGTCGGGATGGAGTTGGATCCGGGAGTGCTCATGATGAATCGGTGTTAGTCACGTCGCGTTGATGTGTTTCCAAAAAGACAGTGGACTGAACGCAGTTGAAGTTGAGTCCTTCTGAGCAAAAGCCGAGGAAAAAAAATTTGAGCAAATGAGCAGACGGCTATATCTACTTTCTGGTCGCCAAGTGGAAATAGTTCTACAAGCAGCATTTTTTTTGCACGTGCTTAAATTTTTTTATCGGCGGAATCGGTAGAATTTAACTGTCATCATGTTCATCGTCATTTCCAAGAAGTTCTTTATTATCAATAAAGCAGACATTGACAGTGCTGAAAAGCAGCCAGGCAGCACTGTCTGCGTGCTTGACCTGATCGATGAAACGAAAGAACCAGTGGCCATTGAATGGCCGCCTAAGATTGTCGCTTCTAGGGACGAACCGAAATCTAAACCAAAACAACCTGGAAACCCTCGTGTCATTTGTGGCGTTGTCTCACCCTCTGAAGACTTTATAGCCCTCTGTGATGACCAGAAAAATTTGGTTGTTTTCAATAAAGATTTTGAAGCTTTGAGGCATTTTGTTGTGAACCGGAATATCATCAAACTTCTCTTTAGAAGCGATGAAAAGACCATTTTCAGCTGTGACAAGACGGGAGATGTTTACGAGTTTTGTCTATCAGAGTCGACAAGTCAAGAAAAACTTCTCTTCGGACATTGTTCAATGATGCTTGACTTCATCTTGACACCGGACGATCGTTACATCATTAGGTATTTAACTCAAACCTATTCCCCTTTACTGCAAACTAATTAATAATTTTTCTATTTCAGTGGTGATCGAGATGAAAAAATTCGCGTTACAAACTATCCAAACACCTACAATGTGGAAAGCTATTGTCTTGGTCATGAAGAGTTTGTCTCAGCTCTTCAGCTGCTCGATAGCTCCACTCTTGTTTCCGGCTCTGGTGATGGTCGAGTGATTTTCTGGGACTTCTTATCTGGAAAACGCTTGTTCTCCTTTGATTGTGATCAACGAGAAAAAAGTTCCACTAACGAAAAGCCGAAAACTGAGAAGGAGCAATCACCATTCCCAATCAAATCAATCACCACCGATTCAGCCAATGCCACCTATATGGCCGTTACATTTTATAAACAAGCTCTAATTTATGTGTTTAAAGTCCTTCGCAACTCTGACCACTGTGCCTCGTCACTTGAACTCATTCAGAAGATTGAAACGGACAGTGAGCCTGTTTTGGTGCAATTTGACAAGGCACATAGCAATTTTCTCTGGGTCATTGGTGGCTTTTCCGAGAAACCCGGTTATTTGCTTGAGTTGAAGAAGGGCGAGTTCATTCAAGCTTTCAACACTAAGGTTGTCGACTTTTTAAGCCGTAACGAGCAAGTAAAAGTGGCCATCAAGGCGGAACACCAGACGGTGCACCCTCTGGAAGGTCTCTACAAGCACAACTTTAATAACGTTGAAAAGTACTACGAGCGCAAAATGTTGCGCATTGAAAATGAAAACAAAAAATAAACTGTCAATTTGTATATTTATTTAATTTGGTGCATTGCTGCGACAAGTGTCTGCTGATTGGGTGCTGTGTTCAGCATTTGCGCTGATTGCAAGTGAATGGGGTACAGTGCACTGTGTGCTGCGCGGATGTGCCACGGCCACCGGCGCATTTCCGCCTTGTCTTATCTCACTGAAAAAGCCGCTGTCAGTGTTTGCCTTTGTCAAAAGCAGCCACTCGGCGCTGACTGGGAGCAATTCTCTCGCCAGCAGGTCATTTGCCAGCCGGTGGTGTCTGCTGTGCCAGGCAAACTGTCCAAAGCGCGCAGACCCAATGCCGCCATGAGCTCGAAAGTGTCCGCTTCGATGAGCACCAGCTTCGACGAGTCCTCGTTTCAGCGGCGGAGCATTGGGAAGCGTCCCCTGCACAGTGACTCCTCGGTGTCGTACCAGGTGCAGAGCGGTGGCACCGGTTTACCTCCTCATCAGCCACCTCCACCACCGACCTTCTCTCGCGAGGAGAGCATCAAGGAGATCATCAGCCGCAGTGTGGCGTACCTGAACGAGGAGGAGGACCAGCTGGAGACGACCACCTCTCGCTCATGGGTGCACGGCTGCATTCTGGGGGCCATTATGATCACCTCGCTGGTGGCCTTCATCACCAGCAAGTTACGACCGGTCTGCTCTGCCTACAGCGACCTGGGCAGCTACGAGCTGTGCACTCGCCACTTCACCTACTACTCGGCCATGGCCGTCGCCTCCAGTGTGGTCGCCTTTGCCGTCTACTTCCTCCACCTCATCTCGCAGTGTGACCTGCTCTGTCTGCGGCGGAAGAAGTACGAGGTGGAGATAGTGACGTTGACGGCGGTGGGCGCACTCCTCCTCCTCTCCTCGCTCACCTACCTCGCCCACACGGACATCTTCGCGGAGTGGCACACGCTGGCCAGTCTGCTGCTCAGTGCCGCCTCCGTTCTGCTGTACCTGCTGCGCGTCAGCATTCTCTCCTACGAGATGGTCTCACGACGGCGGCGACGCCTCCGCAAGAGCAGTCAGTGCGCCCGAGAGCTGGTGCTCACCACGCAGCGGTCGCTCTCCAAGGACCATTGTGGCTCGGTGACAGAGCAGGCAACGGTGACGATGACCACCGCAACGGCAATGCCGCCCACCAAGGTGATCACCTATGTGCGTAATGGCACACGCAAGAAGACCCTGTCCAGCAGTCTCTCTGAGGACCTCGAGGATGACGTCTTTATACAGTGATTGAACTACTTTATTGCATTATATTCCATTCATATTCATCGTGTAAATAAAAACAGGATTTATCGTAATTGATGCATTTGGCAATAAAAGCTATAAAAAAGTGTTGAATAAATGACATTAGGAGGGTAAATGAACGCAGGGAAATGCAGTATGACGAGGTGGTGGTTGCTGTTGTTGCACTGGTTGGTTTCCGTCTTTAGACTCCTCTTTGAGTGGCTTGAATTGTTGTTCTATTCAGGCCATGTTTTGCGGAGTGGTGTTTCGCTCGCCCTGGGCAATCTCATTGCGACTGTAGCGGTCGTAGTTGTTCTTTGCTTCGTAAGCGTAAATGCCACAAGCGACAAAGCCAAAGATCTAGGGAAGAATGGTTGTTAGTGTTTAGAACATTAAAGAGCATTTCAAACTTACTCCAGCCACGGTCATTACACCGCCGGAGATTAGCATCAGCAGTGACGACACAAAGAAGAAGAGACTCCAAATGAGGCAGAATGCAAATTCCTGTAAAAGTTGGTAAGTTTAATCATGCTTGAAATAGAGCAGCCAAACTTACGCCAAGGAGCCACTGAACAAAATACAGCTTCTCGACGACGTGAAAAGCGTACAGGCCAAAGAGTGTTAGACTTATCCAGAAGGCGCTCATAGTGGTAAAGCCGAAAAAGACGACCTTGCCTGATGCACTGGCGAACTGGGCGACGATGAATGATGCCAAGTCAATGATCTACAGTATGAGTCATGTCAGAAAATGAACAATTCTAAATAGACTAGCAAGACAAACGTACCACGACCACCAGTCGAATGAGGCCTGCAGTGGAGTTCAGGTAGTCCCGATCGAACCAGATGAGGGGCGTGATGTGAGTGGTGGTGGTGCTGGCACCGTTGGGCTGGAAGGAGGCCATCTTTGCTTAGGAGTGGAGGTAGTGTTTCCAAGCTCTCGGTACGATTCACAGACTGACGGAAGGACAGGGAATATGAGTGTGTGTGTGTGTGTTTGTGTTTGGTGCACTCGGTTGTCTGCTCTGGCAACAAGTGAGCGGTAACGGAGGCAGTAAAGCAGAGCAGCAGCA